GCGTCTGCCAAATAAAGCTTATAAAATGCTTTTATTATATGCACAATCAAGGCAAACGCACTTGGGCTACTGAAATAATGCTCCTATTAGACAATTTAGGTTTTGGCACAGTCTGAGAAAATCAAGGTGTTGAAAACGGTGAAAATTTTCTACTTGAGTTCAAAAGCCGTGCGCAAAATGAAGGCAAACAAATTTGGTACTCTGATATATGTACGGCGGCGAAAACAGATCATTATCGACAATTTAAATTTAACTTTGGCAGAGAAATGTACTTAAAGCTTTCAGTCAACACAAAACTTCGTAGAGCATATGCCCGTTTAAGGTGTTCAGATCACCCCCTAGCTATAGAAGTCGGTAGACACAGAGGAATCGCCAGAGAGTATAGAATTTGCGATCTATGTTTGTCTGAAATTGAAGACGAGTTCCATTTTCTTCTAAAATGCCCCAAACTTAACACATTCAGGCAAACATTTCTCCCCCAGTCTCTCCAGGACCATGCAGCAAACACCTTGCAGGATTTTCACAAGATAATGGCATCAGACAACACGACTGATATTGAAAGTGTTGCTTTATTTTGTTTTCATTTATTTAAAATTAAAGAGAAAATGTAATTTAAGTCTTTTATACTTTATTTTCAAACCTATGACAGAAATGTAATGATTTATTATTATTTGCGTACATGGGCCAGAGGCCTAAATACGAATAAAGTTAATATTGATGCTCTGATTCAAAATGGTCGACCGGTGGCCATTTTGTTTTAATTAATGCTGTTCCAGAGCAGTATTTCTCAATATGAACAAGTACTTTCTCTATATTATTATGAACAAAACAATATAACTAACAGGGACTATGCCATGCAAACTGGTAATTAGCAATTTTTGAAAAGTAAATTGAAACAGTTGTTACGGTAATAGGTCATTGTCAAAGCGTAGTTTATGCACAGGTACTATGGTCTATGCATTCATGGTGGTTGATATCCATGCTGTGTTATATTTGTGACATTTTATAGGGGGTGGGCGTGTAGCCGAACATGAACCCGAAAATAAAAATGTGCTTAGACGAGCATGTCTTGGATGAGTACGGTAATATACAGTACGCTGTAAAGCTTGTTCATGACCAGACACTGAGATGCCTCTGTCAGTGAATTATTATAAAATTGTATGCAAATGCGGTTTTGTGGTCATTCATTCTCATTTGAGTGGAACGTTTGTAGATCAAGTAATCCATGGGTGAAAGCATGTGTACATACATACACAGTGCTCTCCATGAGGAGCTCAAGAGAGGCGCAGCGCCCCTCTATAATTTATTCATGCCCCTTTTCATTTTCGTTTGGAAACTACAAGTCTGAAAGCTTTGATACATGTACTTGGTGTGAATGTACCTTCGGTACATGTAGACCTCTCTTAGATTTGTTCATTTCGTGATGATATCTTTAATTCTCTAATTTTGGTGAATATTTTTGTCATTTTTGTTAAAAAGTGATATTTTCAACCTTTTGTTAAAAACAGCAAGTCTGATTGCTTTCTTATTATATACATGTATATATAGGTACTACATGTAGACCTCTATCAGATTTGTTCATTTCGTGATGATATCTTCATTTATCTAATTTTGATGGATATTTTTGGTAAAAAGTGATATTTTTGAATCCTTGTTGAAAACAGCAAGTCCAATTGCTTTGATGCTATACATATTGTTCATTTTCTGATGATATCTTCAGTTCTTTAATTGAAATGTGCATTGCTAACAGCGAAGCTATCTTAGCTGACAGGCTGCTTGTTCATTGTCTGCACTGCTTGAAGGATGTCCGGCGCTTCCAGGTTTATATAGGGTTTGATAACTGTGGATTATGATAAAAGAAAAAATTATGATGGCAAGCTTTTGTGTGTGTTTTCAAAGTTATTAATCAGCCCTTTCAAAAAAACATAGCAAATTGGAGCAAATCTCATAAACAAGCAGAATTGCCATCTGTGGCATCAATATAATTAGCATACTAGATGCACTCAATGCTATTTTAGCAATATTTTCACTTTGAACACTTCACTGTTTTACCCCAAGATACGTTTCCTTGGGTTGATGTCAACAGACACTAGTGATTACAGCCAGAGTAGTATCAGTCTTCAGCTACAAGCTCAGATTAATGCAAAATAGTAATTATGAGTGTCTACTGACGTCAACCTAAGAAATAATAACTAAGATTAAATATAATAAGTATGTCCTCTACGATGTTATGATGCGTCACTGACGCACAGAGCAGAAGTTTGCTGTGACGAAGTAGTCCTACTAACTAACTGACGTGCCATTGACGCAAGAGGATACATTGTATGTCTATAGTTACAAAATTTGTATTTTGGGTAAAATGCAATTTGCATTTATAAACAATTATCAGTAAAAGTAGAAATCAGGAGCCTCAACATTTTCTTTTCTGACTCAAATCTCCCAACAAGCACATCAAATGTTTTATTTCTTTTTCTTGATCTTTTCATTCCAGCAGTCAACTACAATGTCCAATGTAGCTGACTCATCTTGATTTCAAGGGATTTCATTTTGACTCTGAACTCCCACGTACATGTAGGTTCTGGTAGCACACTGTATATAATTATTAATTCTTTTTGCCATGTATATTTTTAATCAGAATATATTCATTGCAAACACAATTAATAATTATATACAATGTGTTAACTGATATGCTTTTAACAGGATGTAAAAATGGGTCAATTGATTGTTTCTATCATAATTATGTTACATGTATAATGTTATGGCTGGGTTATTGCAATTACGTAGCCACTGTGATGAAAACAATGGTATACTATTAGCCCACATTAAGTTACCATTAGCCATCTACAGGTTTTGCAGATGTCAATCATTTGAGTAACAACAACAACTTTCAATCAAGTACTATAAAACATGTTGAAAAAGCGAAATACTATTTTAGAGAATTGTGACAAAATGACGTAATAGCGAAATGTTGATTTAGCGAATCTCTCTTGTCTTTGTTGATTTCCTGTTTTACAATACTTGTCTGTCACCTGCCAAAACAAATGCGCAGTTATCACCTTCATAAAAACAAAGAAAAACTGTCACGTGTAATTAGAAAGCGCTCCAGATTATCACGTTTCCTGTGTTGTTTACAAAGTGTGTGTCTGGAGAAAGACGTTGTTTGGCCGCCATTTTGAATTTATAATGAAGTCATTAGCGACATCTTAAATTAGCAAATTAATTCTCTCGCTAAATTCGCTAAAAAGACATGCTCGCGAAAAAGACATGTTTTACAGTATATTATTATTAACAGGAAATACATCCTACAAACACGTAATGTCCTTTGTGTGAACTCGGTGACAGAGACAAAACTATAGACACAAATTCAGTCATTTGAGTTGTTAACGCATTGATACATTTGTAGGTTTAAAAAGTTGAGAAACTGAAAAAAAAAATGTATGTATTATTTCAAAAAGAATCACTTGGCTGTTAATTTTACAATTATCTTATTGCTTTGCATAATGGTTATACATGTAGCAGATCATAGCAAGCAAATCTAGGATGCCGGCCAGCTATGCACTTTGCTGGCAGTGATTTTATTTTATAAACCACTTGTGATAAATTGTTGTTGTCAGAAAAAAAAAAATGTTGGAATTTGTTTCGACTGGCACTAAAACATCAACTTTGCGAGCCATTGTTTTGTTTAATTATTCAGTTTGTTTTCCAAGTAAGAGTTGCCTGACACTTATTTTTGTATTTTCACTGGTTAATTACGCAAGTTCTCTCAATAATGTTGTTGTGACATCTTCCAGAACTAAGTTGAAACAACTATCCAGCAGTAACAAAGAAAGCTGCTCAAGATAAATAGAGGGGTACTACTAAATGAAGAGGGGTTGGAATAAATAATAGAGGGTCTACCAATGTCTAAAAACGATGAAATCTATGTCTGAAAGGTGTTGGTGACATTGTTTTGCGAGAAATTAAAATCACACAACGGTACATGTATCTGGCATTTTATTCCTCATAATAAATTGATTTCAGAGTAATCAAATTTAATACCCGGTAGTAGATATATTGTTTTCTTTATAAACTAGTGAATTAAAAGTGAATATCACTGCAACATCAGAAAAAGTAAAACCCAGTGAATATTTCGAATCCCACAGTATGATGTACATGTAGCTGCATGTTTCTTCATGCACTGCATGGATGTCGTACAGGAAGTAGCTCTGTAAACAGTTTTTATTTCAACAGAGACACATTTTCGCAAGCAATTGAAAATCTCAAAACATGTAGCAGTGTGAATTTCTCTGATGACTTAGAACATGAAGTGTCAGGGACTTTCTCAAATACCATGAGTTCTTGGAATTGTCTACATTTCTTGCACTTTAACTGTTTATCGTATTACGTGAAATTCACTTTTAAAAATGACGGTCACTGGGAGCATAGTGGTATTTGCATCATACTCATGATCGGTAGATCCAAGTTCAAATCCTACCTCAGGCTGAACTTCAAAAGGGTTGACCCCTATCCTGGGTAAGTGTGCCACAGACTCAATGGGAAGGCCAATTCCACTGGCTGAGATTCATTCACTAACGAATGCGACTTTGGGGGAACCTTGGTTAAGGTCCGCAGGTGCTTGTGACCGAGCCTGGTTGACGCCAGGATAGTGCATTAAATTGCCATTTGATAGGAAGATGGTCGCACATCCCTGTCATGTAGTCCCAAACATGAATACGACTTCTGCGGCAAAAATGCACTATGTGTCAGCACTAGCACTTGCAATTTGCACATACAAAAAAAAGTCAGGAAAGACAACAGTGACATTCAATGTTCAGAACTGTCGCCTGGCACAAAAAAATATTTAAAACAAAAAAATGACTTTATATATTAGTCATTCCCATGGCAAACAAAAGCAACTTCAAATACGTGTAATTTTTCATTTCACATTTTGTCTCATTATTTTATTTCTGTTTTTGTGATTTTGTTAAACATACAATAATTTTGTTATTTGTTTCTATCAGGCGACAAGCATGTCTATCAGCTGTACGCAATGCCAAACAGAAAGCCTTAGAAGTTGCCAGAATGTTGCGTCAGGCGTTGGGTAAACCAATCATGATCAAAGAAGAATACAGCCATGAATGGGAAGGTCCTGCTGCTAACGAAGTACCTCAAGACAACGAAGTACCAATCAGCTTCCAACAAAGAATCAGCAATACGACCATCACTGTGAGCGTTAAAGTCTATGCAGCGTTTGAATTAAAACCCAAAGAGAAAGGAAAGCAGCTAGAGAGTACTCTTATTGAGGCACACACATAATCTACCCTTCACTGTGTGAGCCTGTAGAACACTGTAAATATGACATGGCTTGCACGCTGTATTCATTTGATGTGGTGATACGTAGACACTGCACAGATTTGGACCCAAAAGGAGATATTGTCAAGCATCAGTGGGACACATACAACTTGTGTATTATATAATGTACATTAATTACAACAATTAGTCATCTTCCTGAAATGACCTTTGCCAGATCTACATAAGCCCAAAAAAACAAGGGCTTATGCTTTGACGACCTCCACCTGTATGTATCTTGGACATTGGTTTGTTCACATTCAAACTTCACAAATACTGTAGAATACTTTATTTTCGCTATTTTCGCTGAAGGAATGATTCTGTGAAAATAAAATCCAGTGAATATACTTTTTTTGCTATATTTTTACATCAAACTCATCAAAAATCAGTGAAAATAAATTCCATACAAAACGCTCAAAAAACCTTTTCAGTGAAAATTAATTCCAGCGAAAATAAAGTATTCCACAATACATCACATATCTTGGGCAACATATACACCTCCATTCATTTCCTCTTCTGATTCAAGTTTTTAGCCATTTTTTTTTAGCCATATTGCTGACATCCTCTGACTGTTCATGTTCAAACTTTATATAATTTTTAAACTTATGAACTTAGAACTTACGAGGACTATATAATGCAGTTTCTTGTAAATAAAATCTGGTGAATATACCTTTTTTCCTATATTTTCCATTCAACTTGTCAAAAATCAGTGAAAATAAATTCCATACAAAACGTCCAAAAATACTCAAGAATACTTAGTGCAATTTATGTGTAATTTTTTCTGTATCACAATGAGTATTTTGGGTAATTTATTTTCAATAATAATTAATACACAGGTTATCATAATGTAAAATAATTGTATTTAAGGATGTAGTAGTGTTTTTTGAAGTGAACTTTATGTGAATGAAACCTGCTTAAAACCTGTCAAAATTAATAACCCGCATTATAGCGATGTCTAAATTATACGCTTTCATAAAAAGTATAGTTGGATATGGTTTAAAACAATTCTTTCATGAAAATATAGTGTGGATTTTACTTCCTGAAAACGTCCACCATATCCTTAAAATTATAATCACTAGTTTGGATTTCCATGAAACCAGGAAGTCAGTGTATTATGTATCTATTTCCTGCTGGCACAGATTGGATGTAATCTGTATTTTCACATCGTACTAGAGATGTATAACCGGATTTCCTGGTTCTAAATGTTTTAAAGTTGTTACTGATTGTACTTGCATCTAATGGTGAAAATCACAAAATCTATGTGAGGAATGAACGAACGAACAAATGAATGAATGAATAAGTGACTGTTAAGTTATGTTTGTAGTTTGATGTTTTTGTGTTATTTCAGTAATGATCATTGTCTTATACAAGTGTTCATAGCAGTAAATAAGCTTCTGTAAAACCATTTATTTTCACTATTTTGATATATTGATCATATTCATTGCTGTTAAAGTTCACAAATTTGCCAGGAAACAGTGACTTCTATTGCTATTCTACATGTTCATGTGAATTTAATTTAGTGTATTTTACTTATTAGTAAAAATAGTGCAATTAAAAAAAAAAAAAATTAGTGCATTTACCTTACTGGGTGTAAAAATGTAATGTCATTGCTGACTTTAACAGTGGATATCATTTGAACTCTACAGACATTCCATTCATGGTATGTCATGGTTTAGATTGGATTACTGGAATTTGCTGTGGCTCACTGTTCAGTTAACACAATACTTGATGACATATTTACAATGTTTGTTCATTCAAGCAAGTAAATACCGCTATTATTAAAGCCAGTCTTGGAGTAGGTGGGAGAGTGGTTCTTGGTAAAGCATTTATTTTATTTCTTTTCGATATGAAAGTTAGTAGTTTAAGATAGAAGTGAACTATTTCCCCCCACTTCCACCACGTCATGACCGATGCATGTATATTCATTTAGTGATTCATGTTCATTGGTGTATAAAATGCAGGTCACAGTCTGTGGAACGTCACACTCTGTTCTGTTCAGATTTTATTCCAAAATTTACTCATAACCTAAAGAATAAGTAAAATTCACATTAATATGTATATAGAAAATGTTTCTCGCTTCTCTTTTTCAATTATGCGTTTTACTGACACTATTAAACTATCAAGTAGGAGCCGAGTGACCTTACTTGTAACTGACATGTGTTCAGTGATTAATGTTCACCCCGCCCGACCAAATAATACCTTCCTGGTCAAATCTTTTTGTTTGATATTACCTCTTTATAAACTCATGATTTATTATAATATATGACCCTTGTTTTTGACAGCAGTATGGTATTTTTGAGATGGTGAATAGCTGTAATACACTAGTAACTAGAATTCAACTCTGTCTTAAGGTTCACCTTTTTTGTTATAGAATGTTTGCGGCCAAACTAACATAAATCATATCCTTATCCTTTTATGAAATTGCATTTTCCAGCAAAATTATTGTAAGTGACTTAATATACTGATATACGTCATGCGTGCCACAATAGATTGTAAAGTTTATGCCGAGACATGCTTTGTTATCAATTTACCTCTAAGATTTCAGATGAGGAAACTGGGTTTTGGATTTGTTTTTATGTAAAGAATGACAATTGTTTACAAAGTGTACATTATTGACCCTGATTACGCAAGATCTGTGCTGAAATTTGATATTTAATCAAATCTAATTTATATTCCATTTATGTAAATAACTAAACTTTACTGATATAAGTCAAGTTCATGACAATAAAGTTGTAATTTTTTTTATTAATTTTTAATAAATTTGTCATATTTTCATAATGCTTTGTTGCTGTATGTGTTTTACTGAATCCTTTGATTGGTGTTAACTTGAGCAATACAATGGCCTAAAGTAGCCCATTGAACAATTAACATGACATTTTTACAAAATTCAAATTCTTTCTATATTCTGAGTATAATGAGTATGATATCCACAGTAGATTCTGTAATCTGATGTAATTGTCCACTAGTATGTAAATATCGGTGCATGTAGTTCGAGGAAAGTGATCACTTTTCTTGCCAATTCGCCAAATTTCAGACCATTTCGTAAATAATTTAGGAAAGCAATCTCACCAACTAGTTTGAGACAAATATCATTGCTACGTGATTGAATTTTAGATACTGAGAGTTTGTGGGACATCACCAAATATCAAGAATGACTTGTAATTGTTGGTTTTTGGAAAAAATGTATACTATTAATAATAGCTCCATAACAAACAAAAATGGCTTTCATTTGAATTTCATTCTCATCCCTGTTATATATATTAGTGAAAATCGGCCGTCCAAGTTAGACCACTGTTCATGCAAACGAAAACTCAGGTAATTGGGCGTTGATTGCCATAAAAACAAAAGTATTCAAGAAATTAACGCTTGGCGTCTGGTTGACCCGGAAGTTATCGCAGACACGTGAAAGTTTTGGAAGATTGTTCACAATGACAACAGCTTCGGTTTCGAAGGTACAAAAATGTCTGATTTTCTATTCCCTTGCTCTCTTTAATGATATTCATTATTTCCGAGTATTATTTATATTTATCTTTTTATTTCCGATACTACATATACTTTTATTTTCAGGGTTGTTTTGTATTTAAAGCAAGAAATAAACAGAAAGTGTTGCAGCCAGGTAAGCGTGTCGTTTACTGGAATCTAGTGTGTTCATTTTCATTGAGTAGTTCAACTGACACGTTTTACTATGGCTAGGATTGTGCACAACAACTTCCCTCCGAGGTCGTGTTGCATGATACGCCAGGCAGTCGTTTGTAATTACTCATTGATGTCTGATTTCATACAAGTTTGAATGAAAGTTGATAGGTAGCCATTAATTTCGTTGAGATATTAGTCAGTGAAACGACTTTATCAAAGATTATGGAAACTACCATGGCATAAGCATCAACATTCCCAATTATCAATCAATTCTGATTTAAATATTCTCGGTATGTCATCACAAATTCTGTACTCTCTCAAGTTAGACTGACAATTTAAGTGTTATTCCACGTTTCAGTGTCTGCAACAAATATACTCTTTACAAGCGAAAAGACAAACCGGAATAGGAAGTCGGTAGATGACAAAAATTTGTTCATTAGCGTGCGGGAAAGTGGGCTAGTGTTGGGAAAAACAGACTGAGGTGTTAATCTGAAGATTCATTGTCTATTTATTTTTGTGAATGGTCCTGATCAACGTTAGGGGGATTGTGACGTAGCTCCAAAAATAGGAACCGGATGGGAATCAAAATGTGAATTATTTTCAAAGTTGTTTATTTTTTAGCCCCTGCTAAATTTTCTAAAGAATAATCTAAGTGAGTGATTGTTAACACGTGTAGGTTGTGAAAGGTGAGTGGGGAGTGATCATTCTCAAATATCCAAATTCTTGTCGAGCATACTGTTCTGCTCCAAAATAATAATAACAACTAAATAACATTAACACAATAATTTCACAATGTCAAGAAAGAAAAGTAGTGTTTAACATTGTAAAATGTTGACTTCATGACACAGCAAACTCTGCTCATGACCGGAGCTGTTGTCTTTGTTGAAAATTCGCCAATTCACCAAATCGTGGTTTAGCTGTTTAGCTAATTTTTCAAAAGATCATATGGATACTAAGTATTCAATTCATATTAACCAACCCTAGACTTTAAAATACATATTCTAAGATCTATGTCCCAACTAGTATTCGAATATGTTTTCGGAAATTTGAGACATTGTTCAAAAAATCCAGTACAGGGATATGTCTGATGACAACTAATAATACGCAATTCTCCATGCAGTACTAGAAATTATTGCTGATACTAATCACATTTTTATTGGAAAGTTACTCGAACGTTTAGTAGACGAGCATAATAATACTGTCACATGTCCCCCGTCTTAGCCACATAACCGTCGCAGTTCGCTTCATTTATGTAACATCGAATATTTAGCTTGATGATGATAAACATATATTCACTGTTGCTTTCATGTTACGTTAATACAAACATGATTTAAACTTGTCCTTTGCGGTGTTTTTTTCTTTGCCGAAATATACAAAAATAGCATGTGTGTGTGCGTTTCCGTGAGTAAAAGAGGCAGGCGAGACTCCTTGCCACAACGTGTTGTATTCATTTCCAGCGCGCGTGGTCGGC